TATCAACTTGTTAGTTTTCGCCTGTACATCTTCCAGTCTGTGCGACAAGACATTAGACACAAGTCATCACTGGCGAAATCCAAATCTTGTATGATCTTTTTCCCGGTCCGGCGTATCCCCTTCTTCTCGCTCCTCACAGTTTGCTGTATGATCCAGTCCACTACAATCAGGAATATCATGGGTTATAGTAGACAGCCTTGTCTTACTCCTTCCTGTCTTCATTTCAAAGGCCTCACTGAGCTGAGCTTCTTATTGTGAATTTATGTGACGACTGGTTGTGGTTTCTCTGAACTATCCAAATTCTCTGATATATTCACGGAATTTGCAGTCCTCACAGTCTGTGGTTCTCTGTTGATAATATGTGGTGTTTTCAATTGTTGTGACTAAAGCTTTGTCGAAACTCTCGGTTATCAAAACTCTGTTAATTTCACAACACGTCAAAATGCAATACTGGACTTTGTATTCATCAATGATACTGACATATATATGAAACTCGAAAGGGATCCCCACTGCTCAGCTTAGATCATTACATCGTATATGTTTAGCTCAAATTACATGTGGAACTACACAAAGAAGCCTTCACATATAAGAAGGTTGTACATAGAAACTATTTACTTAGTAACATACTTAATCTAAGAGAAATGCTACAATATACGGACTGGGATATATTTCACAGTGATGCTTTGAACGACATTATTGATGGTGTGACATGCTATCTCAAGTTTTGCATGGATATCTATTTCTCAATGAAAAGCACTTTCTACACTTCGATCGTATATCCTCTACCCAGTTTAAGAGAGTAAGAAGAAAGACCATTCAAAGTAAGTGATAACGCTGGTGCTCATCGATTGAACATTTTAATTAGGTTGAGAATCAAGCGTCTGAGTCTACTGTATAAACAGAAACTTTTGTCATGCAGAAGATCTTCCAGTATATGGAAACTTTTTAAAGACCTCACTGGAAGTAAACACCTTAGTAAGGAACCACTTGTTGACCTCTGTGCTTTGAACAAATCGTTTATACGCAAAACCGTCTGTCCTATTCAACTTTATCCATACATTTCCAATGAAGAATGTTGTCCAGAGTTCACCGAGAAAGATGTTTTCCAATATCTCAAATGCCTGAACCATTTATACAGTTCACGTCCGGATGGTATGTCAGGCTTCGTATTCACAATGTGTGCTGATATTTTATGTCATCCATTAGCTAACATGTTCACCAGATCGCTTTTAGAGAAAACACCATATCAGCTGCCTAGAAAGATATTAAGATAGTCACCATACCTAAGTCAAGGCCATCCGATTGCAATTGCCTCTCCTTTTTGAAAATAACGGAGAAGCTAATAAATAATACCTGTGCTCGAGCCCTCTTTGAACGCTTTTGGATACCCTAATCAATTTGTGCATAAAAACAGAAGGAGCACTCTGGATGCCACCACTGTCTTATATTACAATATTACTTATAGTTTTCATAGAAATGCCAAGTATGTCAGACAGATGTGCTTTTCTAGAATATACTTCAGCAATTGATTCTGCCTTAAAACCTCTTTTTCTGGACAAGCTACCGGGCCAAATACTGAGCCCTGGATAATCAGCTATCTGCATTCCTATTTATTGATAGGAAACAAAATATTGTTCACAGAGGGAAGCCCCCCACTTAATTGCTTACTGTAACTGGTATTCCCCAAGGAGATCCTGTCCCTTATATTTTTTTCATTCTGCATGCTTACTGTAGATGTATCATTTCAAAATATGCTGGTGACCTAACAGTTCCCATACTTCTCCTCTTCAACAGATTTCCCAACTGAATGATTTCCTTTCTATCTACTCTTACGATGATCTCATGAATGGCTTATGCTTATTCTTCAATCAGAAACTTAGTTTTAGAGTGAACATAACCTGCTAAACTGTTTAGTTCTCATGATTCTGTTCATAGTTGTGCATTGGAGAATGTTACAAGTGTGATTTATCTTGGTGTGTTTGTTTTTCTTCAGACCTTTTCTGATCCTTCCTTACATCTTATAATTTCCAAAAGAATTTTCTGCCAGAATTTCTAAATTAGGAAGCTGAGAGTATCTGGTATTATTCAGCCTCTCCTCTTGTATTTTATAAACTCCTCCATGTTGCTGTCCTCCTCTATTGTTCTCCTTTACTTTTTCCTGGGTTACTCGAAAAAGACTAGCTGTGTATGCTTAGAACTTTGAAGATTGTCAGCAGAACTAGTGGTGTACGTGGGAATCTTCTAGTCAAGACAGTTGTGGACAAACATCTTAACTGAGGTAAACATTTACATCATCCTCTTCACTCAAAGCTCAGTGTGTGTCAATCATCAAGAAAGACTAGGAACAAGTGAATAAGACTCTACGCACGTACTACAAAATAAAAACTCTATAATCTAATTTCTAATGTGATCGTCTACCTGAAATGACAGTGGTTTTGAAGAAAGTTGTAGATAAAGCGAATAGTTGTATCTTTTCTTTACATAATTTCTACTTATTTCATTTTGCTATGTATACAAACATTGTCTCTATCCAATCGATGCCATATGATATGCTGAAAGTTCTGTACAGTGATCTTGAAATACCTTTCAGAATAAAGTCATTATTATTAAAAAGCAGCTCTCGTGAATCGGTGTCCTAGTGAATAATGCTGTATCATTTCAAGTGGTTAGTTTTGCTTTCGAGTCTAAGTTGGAACAGTACATTGAGATGGGTGCAAGTACACTGAGCTGACGAATGCCAAAAGAGATGAAACATGCATCCTGGAATCAACTATTAGTTTCCATTAGGCAAATTTATCAACTTTTATTCAGGATGGTGATTTATATCATTGATATAAGCACTCAGTTTTCAAGTAGTAGGTCCTGAGATCAAACTCCATTCCACCTTCTTCAGGTTGGGTAGCATTGCAAAAGTTCAAATAGTTTATGTCGCTCATAACCCAATACATAAAACTTGAGCTAGGTTCATTACAGAACTGTCAGTGAACCCAAAAACCCGACAAAAGCAGAAGTTGGACGCCACTCTGTAAAGTTCCTGAAATCCGGGGAAGCAGCAGAACCAGATGAAATTCCGCCAGAAGCACTGGAAAAAAAGCAGAGACATCAGAAGCGGACATGCTCACACTATAATTGCAGAAGGTTTGCAAGGGATTAAGGAAAAGTACTTGGCGATTGAAGAAGGGCTACCTTGTCAAATTCAAAAACAAGGGAGACCTAAGTATGGCAAGAACTGGCGAGGAGTCATGCTGCTGTCCACCCAAAGTAAGCAAAATATTATGCCGCATCATCCTGGAGAGACAAAGGATGTGCTGGATTCAAAACTACGACCGGAACAGGCAGGCTGAATTCAGGAAGTACAAATCATGTGTGGACCAAATTACAACGCCACTCTACACATCATCATGGAGTAGAGCATAGAATGGTAGTCAACTCAACTCTACCTCAACTTCATCGACTTTGAGAAGGCCTTCAACAGCATCGACCGACAAGTAATTTGGTAGGCAGTTGCTTCATCACTACGGAATACCACAAGCCTTTATCAGTCTCATTCAACAGCTATATGGTGATGATGGTGATGATGCTACATGCCGAGTGATTCACAATGGAAAACTCAGTGACGACTTTGAAGTGCAGACAGGTTGACTGACAAGGCAAGGTTTCCGCCTACTACCAACGAAAATCTTCCTGATTGTGGTCAACTGGACTGGACTGGATCATGCAAGAAACTATGAGAAGCGACAAGATGGGCATACGCTGTTTGACCAATGAAAAGACCCTAGAAGATTTCGATTTCACCATCATGATTTATGTCTGATGTATTATGTCGCACAAACTTGAACATCTCCAGACGAAAACTAACTAGCTGGAGGAAGCGATGAAACTTTATGTGAATGTGGAAAAGACAGAGGTGATAAATATACCCAACAACAACAAGAAGCACCAATCACCGTCAACATGAGAAATGTAAACGAAGATATCTTTTTCACCTACCTACCTATCTAACTAGGCAGCATCGTTTCAACTACGGGCGACACAGTTGAGGAAGTGAAAGACACGATCGGAAAGACAGCAAGACAGGCTTTCCTCCATCAATCTGAAATCAGTGTGGAGATTTACTTCACTGCACTCAGCATAAACAGTAAGATCCGGATTTTCAACACTAAGTCAGACAAGTAAGTCAGTGCTTCTATGTGATAGTTGGAAGACTTGGTGGGTTACGAAAAGCATTTCCAACAAATTACAGACATACATCGACAGCTGCCGCCTACACTCCATACTGACAGTGAAGAGCAGATGAGATGGCCAGAAAGAATAAGCAAGAAGCAACTGTGGTCTGGCGTCAAACCAACGAAGCAAGAAGCTATCTCCCAGCAGATGTGCACTGGAAGAAAGTGGAGATGGAAATGGATTGGGAATAGACTGAGATGACGATTTAGGGATATCAAGCGTCAGGCCAGGCCGTGGAGTGGAACTCAAAGGGGAAACGAAGTGTTGCGTGTCCTAGGGTGACATGGCGAGGATCGTAAAAGAAAGGAATGATGGTTTACGGGGAATCGTGAAGCCAGGTTAAGAAGACTGGATAGAAGAGAGTGAAATGTTGACGTGCTACAGAATTCCTATGTTCCACTAAGAACCCAAGGGACAAACATTAGTTGCAGATGAGGATGAAAATGTCTTATCCTATTTATCTTGTAAGTAGAAAATCTGTACTCACAGTTTCAAAGGGCATATATTTATAAGCTATGCTGTTGATGTCAAAGACCTCCATTATAATAGGTAGATACCATTTTTTATCCTTCTGTTTATCAACACATCATTTGCTGATTTGTTTGACATTTGTGACAGGTTGGTGTATTCACCTGGGGGCAAGGTAGCCCCCTGTTAGCTTTTCGCATGCTGTACATGTTAAACACAAATAAGTCATACTCCATATCTCCACCAACCTTCCCTCTAAAAAATTATATAGGAAGTTGACTAACCCTACATTTACTTATCATTTTATATCCCAAAAGTACTTTTTAATTAAAATAAAGAGACGCATTGAACAATAAATTGGAAGGAGATGATTTTTAAGAATTTCTAAGAAAACAGAGAAAGTAATCACCTATTCAGCAGAATATCTAACCATTGCACATACGCACAAACACATTGTTATGCATACATACACTGAGATGAAAAAGAGTACAGTAAAATACTATCAACATCATAAGTCGAAGTGCTACAAAAAAGGTTAACACATGGGTACACAGGATAACTAATTTACAGACCCTATAATAACACTACTTATAAGTAGATAGTTAGGATGATAAAAAAACAACAGAAAGTAGGGAAATTCTTTCTCATGTATAATAACTTCAACTTTTGATTACTGTAATCGGCATCCATCTAAAATCACATGAAAGACTCAGTAATCTATTCAAATCATTAAAGAATAAAATAAGCTAACTTGTGAGGTAATTCCAGATGTAAAAATCAAGTTTCACATCTTAATTCGAAGATATAATTTTAACTACTGAAAATGGCAAAAAGTAGTATCTTGCGAAACAACTAAATAAAATGCACAATTCTGCATTTATACAGTTCATTTCAATGTTAAAACTAGTACATTAGTGTGTACGTGTGTGTGTTTGGTTTAAATAATAGAATGATCCACTTGTAAAAATAAATGTATATTGTGTAGATAACTTAAGACTAGTAAGGCTGTACTGGTTTACTTTTTCTTTTACTGGGATATTGATTTAAGTGAATACTTTACACTGTAATACAACTATACTCTAAAATATTTCATAATATTATCATTTTAATATGCATCAATTTAGTTAAGGCATAAAAGAAGCTACTAAATTTGGTGCAGAACATAAAATTGCAAATGTTGCCACAATATTGAACACACTGAATATTATTAAACAAAATCGATCAATAACACGTGCTGCAAATTTCCATTCTAAACTGATTAATGATTCTTGTTCATCATCACGTAATTTTTTAGTAATAAAGCGTAACTCTGTAATAATATATTCTAGATCAGTTTTATAGATATTTAATTGATTTTGACCAGTGCTACCTGGTTTATCTCTTGTAGGAGTATCTTGTGAAGGATTATTTGCAGATATATCACTGAGTTCATCTGAAAATGGATCATGTAATGTTTCTATAAAAGAAAAAAACAACTAAAAAATGAAGATTAGAAGATAAGAAATCTGTTGGCTATTGGATGCATATAGAGTAAAAACAAACTATTTTCAGATTAACGAACTGGTATTTAGATATATTCGTTCCAGTTTCACAGAAGCAGTATTCATGATATTAATATGTATCCCGTGGATTCCCAATGGAACATAGGGATTCAGTAGCACGTCACTATTGCACTCTCTCCTCTCCAATCTTTTCAACCTGTCATTACGACTGCCCACAAGCTTCCATTTCTTCCTCGCACGATCTTCTCCATGTCACCGTCACCTCGGACGCCCAAATCATCGTTTCCCATCTGGGTTCCAATTGACGACCTGAACAGGTGCATGATTTCCTCAGTCGGCCTTCTCAGTGTATGCTCAATCCATCTAAACTTCCTTCTAATGCATAGGTTCTTGCTACGTTGGTTCGTTAATAGTCAGCCAGAGTTCCTCCCTGCTTACTATTTCTCGGCTTCTCATCTGATCTTCAGTAACAAGCGTAGGTGGCACATATTGATGAATATCTGCAGTTTCTTGGAAATGCTTTTATTAACACGCCAAGTCACTGAGCCATAGAGAAGCACTGAATAAATTGAATTGGTGTTGAAAATCCGGATGTTATTCACACTTTATGCTGAGTGGAGTGCAGCAGATCTCCACACTGATTGGTTTCAAGTTAATGAAGGAAGGTTTATCTTGCAGTCTTCTCGATCCTGACTGGCTTCGACGTCCTCGTCTGTGCTTGTGCCACCTGTAGTTGAAACGGTGCTGCATTGTCTAGATAGGTGTCGGTGAAAGAGACTACTTTCTTCAAGTTTCTCCCGTTCATCGTGATTGGAGTTTGTTGTTGTTGTTGTTGGTGATGGTGGTGGTGGTGTTTGGGTATCTTCATCACCTCCGTCTTCTCTATATTCACCTGTAGGGAGTCCCGTCTTCGCTGCCTCTTCTGTCAACTTGTTAGTTTTCGTCTGTACATTTTCCAGTCTGTGCGACAAGACATTAGACACAAGTCATCACTGACGAAATCAAAGTCTTCTATGTTCCTTTCCACTGTCCAACCAGCAATCCCCCTCTTCTCGCTAACCACTGTTTCTGCATGATCAGTCCAGTCGACGACAATCAAGAATATGATGGGTGATAGTAGGTGGCAGCCTTGTTTCACTCCTGTCTTCACATCACTTCACTTCACTTCGAAGGCGTCAGTGAGCTGAGCTTCGCATTGTGAATTACTTGGCAAGTGGCATCTTCATATACTTGTTGAATGAGATTGATAAAGGTTCACGGTATTCCGTAGTATTGAAGCAGTTTCCAAAATACCTCTCAGTCGACGCTGTTGAAGGCCTTCTCAAAGTCGATGAAGTTGAGGTAGAGTTGAGTTGACTGCCATTCTATGCTCTACTCCATGATGATGTGTAGAGTGGCGTTGTAATTTGGTCCACACATGATTTGTACTTCCTGAATTCAGCCTGCCTTTTCCGGTCGTAGTTTTGAATCCAGTGCATCCTTCAGCCTCTCCAGGATGATGTGGCCTAATATTTTGCTTGTTTTGGGTGGACAGGGAGTGATTCTGCGACATTTCTTACAAACACTGAGGTCTCCCTTGTTTGTGAGTTTGACAGGGTGGCGCTTCTTCCAATCAATGGCCAGGTACCTTCTCTTCCTTCCACACCTTCTGCAACAGTGCTGTGGTGTGAGCATGTCCACTGTTGTCTCTGCGTCTGTTTTCAGTGCTTCTGGTGGGATTCCATCAGGTCATGCTGGTTTGCCACATCTCAGTAGCTTTATGGCACTCAGGATTTCCATTTTCGTTGGGAGATTTATGTTGACTTGTAGTTCTGTGGCTGGGCTCTAGGTGGTATTTCCGGACGAAGTGCAAGTGGCGGTCGATTCAAGAGCTTCTCGAAGTGGTCGGCCCATTGTTTCCTTTGTTTCTCTTCTTCGGTGTTTACATTTCCGTCATCACCTTTTATTGGTTTCATCTGCGTTGATCTCTTCCCAGACAGCAGGTTACTTGTTTATTTGATGCAATGTTGTCAGGTCTTTCCTACCTGGTAAATGCGTTTACCCAATTTATAGTGTATCATTGTGTTTTTTGCCTGATGTTTTGTCCATGACCTTGAAATAGCCTTGATAGCTGTCTTCACACTGTTACTAGTTTCTCCCTTCTCTGCTATCGAAGCTCAATTCTTATTGATTGTTAACTACTTTACCCTATATGTGGATTTAATGCTGTCAAGGTCATTGAGAATATATACATTCAGTATCGCTTCAAACTGTTTTTGAGTGTTTTTAAGATAGTAAAATCTCTTTGTCAACAATCTCACTTCTCTTCTTGTCTTCTTGCCTCAGTGATATTTTAGGTGTGGTGGTTGACGTTTTGAGTTGCGTTAGAGTTAATTTGTATGCGCGTTATGTTTGTATCGTTCATAGTTTACTCGGCTTTTATCTCATGTAGACTGTTACGCCGTACTACCGGTTATATTACATTGGACAATAACTAAAATTGTTATAAAGCAAACTTGGGTAACATAAGAGAACGCAATGAAGAAAACTTAAATCTTGCGTGTAACCGATTACAGTAATGAACTTTCAAGATTATGTAGAGTCATTAACTCTTATCAAGTCAGTGATGCATGCTGATGAAGTAATTGTCAGAAGTTCACTTCAATCACGACGTAAATATTTCATAGTTTTGAGTTGATAAGAAAGAATGTGAAGATTTTTTGACTGACGCATTTATCCGGTATGATGAACAATGAAGATTAGGTGACTTTTTAAGAAAGCCAAGTGAGTTGAAAAATGAAAGAATCATTAATCGGTCATTTTAGCTATCTACACTAAGTAATGTACAAACCTTTATCAGCCTCATTCAACAAGTATATGAAGATGCCACTTGCCAAGTAATTCACAATGCGAAGCTCAGCTCACTGACGCCTTCGAAGTGAAGTGAAGTGATGTGAAGACAGGAGTGAAACAAGGCTGCCACCTACTATCACCCATCATATTCTTGATTGTCGTCGACTGGACTTGATCATGCAAGAAACAGTGGTTAGCGAGAAGAGGGGGATATGCTGGTTGGACAGTGGAAAGGAACATAGAAGACTTTGATTTCGTCAGTGATGACTTGTGTCTAATGTCTTGTCGCACAGACTGGAAAATGTACAGACGAAAACTAACAAGTTGTCAGAAGAGGCAGCGAAGACGGGACTCCCTACAGGTGAATATAGAGAAGACGGAGGTGATGAAGATACCCAAACACCACCACCACCATCACCAACAACAACAACAACAAACTCCAATCACGATGAACGGGAGAAACTTGAAGGAAGTAGTCTCTCTCACCTACACCTATCTGGACAATGCAGCACCGTTCCAACTACAGGTGGCACAGGCACAGACGAGGACGTCGAAGCCAGTCAGGATCGGGAAGACTGCAAGATAAACCTTCCTTCATTAACTTGAAACCAATCAGTGTGGAGATCTGCTGCACTCCACTCAGCATAAAGTGTGAATAACATCCGGATTTTCAACACCAATTCAATCTATTCAGTGCTTCTATGTGATGGTTGAGAAACTACAGACATTCATCAACAGCTTCCGTCTACTCTCACTCCATACTGAAGATCAGGTGGCCAGAATAACAAGGATAAGCAACAAGAACCTCTGGCTGGCTGTCAACGAACCAACCAAGAACTTATCACCTAACAAATATGTAGAGAAAGGAAGTGGAGATGAATTGGGCATGTACTGAGAAGACTATGCGGGGAGGTCACACGCCAGGCCAGACTCTCGAACGGAACCCAGATGGGAAGCGACGAGGGTGACATAGAGGAGATGGTGTGAGGAAGAAATGGGAGCTTGTGGGCAGTCGTGGCGACAGGTTCAAAAGATTGCAGGGAACAGAGCGCACTGGAGACGTGATTCTGAACCCTTATGCTGCATTGGGAACCCAAGGGACAAATAATAATATAATTATAATGCTAAGTGATGTCCATCAGAAATGCTAATTATCCGCATTTTTTTATTTAACTTTTCCCTAGATATGCTAATGGATAACTACTTTCCACTCAAATATGATGTTATTTTGACTGATTACATCACAGTAGTCTCCTTAATCGATGTAGAGTATAAAGAAAACATGTTTCAGCTAAGTGTAAGTAGTAAGAAGTTTTAGAATCTTCCGAACAAGTTTGATTAAAATTTAGAATGTTTGGAATGAGCATATTTACAAAAGGATCCATTAACTTTCGACTGTTAACATCACCTAATACATTGGCAATGTATCTGACTATGAAGGGTCAAGAGTACTTACTACCTTACAGTTTACTTTATTCTCTAACATAGTTATGAAACAAGGTCATTAGAACTTGAAGGCATTGAGAAAGTTTCTACTGTTCGATAACTACTACTTTCGTAGTAATATAGATATAGCTTATAACCATCATGTTATTAACATGACAGTTAACGCAAAACGTCTTGGGTAAAGTAGGTTATAACACACCTTCCACCTATCATCTATCCCAGTGCATAATATTAATTGGAGATTGGGATTGGTTTCATAAATTAATTAACAATGGCTAGACCACAACCTGGTATCAGTTCAAAAGGTCTTTAAGTATTGATGAGAAACGTACAGGGTAATCTAGACTTCTCTGTTGGCATCTATATGACAACAGAAATCAATAACTCTAGATTTCTTTTCATTTTCATAAGATAATCCCTCTTTTATTCTTATGAATGTCAAGCCACGACTATCTTGGATAATCAATATGATACTCCCCATAGCTAATTCAGCTGAATTTCGATTAGATGAGAAGTCTCTGTTGAGTAGACAGTATGAATACCTTTAATCGATAGTGACACCTCACGAATTCACATGATAGTCGGGCAAAACCAGCAGTGATTGAAGTGAAATTAAAATTTGACCACTATCTATTTCTCTTGCCTCAAAATACACCTACTGACTATTAATTAACGTGTAAATTAGTAAAGATTTCGGGCAGCCATACTTTCGATTACCTAATTAATGTCCAGTATATTATCTGATCTTTCATAGTTGACAAATGTCATTGCATCTAGGCTCTAATGGCCACTGTGACCATACGTGGTCTACATCTCATGAAAACTGTAATGATTCATCACTGTTGTGAAGCATAGATTTGTGATACCTCATCAAGTCATGAATAATGTTTCTATGTGTAACGATATTCACATTGGTTATTGTTGGTCTGTGGTCTACTATAACTAGTGCTGTAATCCTGTTGGTTACCTTGTAAATACACTTGAGTCTATGCTGCTGTGACTATGGTAGTGTAAATTTAGATATTCAGTGTTGTATGACTGTAACTTATGGAAGTGATTGTATGACGTTTTAGGAGCTTCCTGAAGTATACATATTACGATTACAATCCTTGTTAGAACCCATATCACTCATTACCGCAGTTAGTAATGGTTTCACTAAGCCATTCGGGTCACGATTAACCTAGATGGCGTATATTAATTAACAAGTAGAGTCAATAATGTCACTTTATGTAGCTCCAAGTGGTCACCAAATCTTAGCGGTTATTTCAAGGACCAATAGCTGAGTTGTTATGTATCTGACAGAAGTATTTGATGCTGTGGTCTTATAAAACTGTAAACGAATCAGTGCTGTCCAGCTTGTGGATACATTTTACTGATGTTATTAACGATACCTTTGTCACCTTTGACTAACCTCTTTTTGTACTGATTATCATTTCAGGTGACATGGTAGTTAGAAGTTTCTTCTTGACCATCATATTGTAAAGAAGTCTACGTGTCAGCCTCATTAACATTTTTAATGAGATTCAATCTGGAGATTTGTAGGTTTTTTATTTATCGATTTCAGGATGGAAATTTATGTTGGAATGATATCAGTTGAAGAGGTGTTGGAGATCTGAGATCATTGGACAGCCAGTGTTTCGTCCCAGTATAGGCCTCTTCAGCAGTATGCACCCATCATCCCACTAGACTAAAAAGCTATTCTGAACATTATAAAATCAAATTATAGAAGATACTTTATTGAAATAATAATATTCTCCTTATATTTACCTGAATTAATATTTACCCCTGAATTATAAAGTCGATAAGGAGGTGGTGGTTGATTTGACACTGGAGAAGGTAGATCAGTTGTAATTTTTGACTTGATATTATCTCTTAGCATACTTTGTTTTTCAGGTAAATTTATTGGTATTGTAGCACGAAAATCATCATCCAAATTTAATACATTAGCCATTAAACTTTTTGATGTTCTTTCATGTAAATTGTCAACACCGACAACTCCACTGTCTAACATTGAATTCCCTAAACTTCCATTTAAACGTGTACGTGAATTATTGATCAATTGTTTATGTATATTCACAGGATTATTAGTATTATCTAAATTCCAATCAAGATAAGTTTGTTCTTCTTGTAAAAATTGATCATTCAAAGATTTTTTAGTCAGAAGATTCTCTATAGATGAATTACCATCAGATGAAATATCTTCTACTTCAATGATTTGTAAACGTTTTGGCGGTTCCATAAACATTAATCTAGCTAGGTATGTATTGACAACATTTCTGATCTATAAAAAAAAAATTTGTGTTTTATTAAAGGAAAACAAACAAAGACAATAGTGAAAAAGAACCAATTAGTTTGATAATTATATGGTATTCAAGAATAAATGACACAGAGATTAGTAGACTAGCTTTTCTAGAACCTTCATTAGAGTCTATCCGGAAGCTATTCGTTTGGATTACGCTTTGTCTTTTTCTGTATACATAGAAGAACACAAGAGATGAGAACTGAAACAGTTCAGTTGGTGATAATGATAGTGACGAAATATACTCCTTTATTCACAGATAAGAACATGTATCAGCGAAGAAATATTCCCTTTTCAACGACTCCATTATCAAGTGGAAGACATAGACTGACTTATGAATCGAGCCATCATCCATTCTGATGGATGGGTGGCAATCATTGAAATATCTTAGCAGCTGATTCACAAATAAGAAATGTGTCGTCAATGTACCTTTTATACAAATGAAGTTCAGAGATTATCTCTTTAAGTGCCTGGAAAACTGTTTGTCAAGGTGTATCAACAGTGGCTTTTATGCTGCTAGACTGAAATCAATATTCTCCAGCCATCGTCTGATTCGACAATACGTAAAGGATAAGCTACCACTTATGTTCACATCTATGTGTATCTACAAAATTCAAATACTCCTGTGGAGCTGACTATATTAGACAATGTAAGCGTGCCCTACAAAAATGTTTGACTTAACAAATTCGAGCGATGGGAAACGACTTCATTTATATGTATGAACACCTAGTAAAGTTAGCTTATTCAGCACCTCGAGATTCATCCTTTAAAATAATTTACAAAGTTAAATTGAACTACTCCAAAGGTTTACGTTTCAATCACCTAAAGTTGCCATCCACCGTGATCCTTTCTCTTCATCTTATGTAATACTGACATCACAGAAGGTCGTAAGCTTTTTAAAAATGTACGTGACTATATAATGCCATAAGAGGATATAGTAAAATGATGAAAACAAACAGAAATGTAGAAAAATTTGATGCAATATGTCAGATGGAAAATTTAGTAGGTCAGATATTTAAGTAGGCCGCTAAAATTCGATCATTATACTACTCATTTGATGGTAATTTACTTCAAGTTAAGTGCCTCATTCCTTTAAAGAAAACTAATTTCGATTTAAGATTTCGGCTAGATCGTCACTAAGAGAAACCTTATTGACATCAAAACTGATCAGTTAAAAAAAAAGGTTCATCTGTCAGAAATGTTTATATGAACTTTCTGAAAGATGGAAAGGAAGGATAGGCTTCCAGTTATGTCCACATCTATGTGTATCTACAAGTTCACATGCTTCTGTGAAGCTGACCATATTAGATGTTGTAAGCAGGCCGTTCAAAAACGTATTGCTGAACACTACCCGGTTTGGATTACCAGAGGTGAGTAAAGGAAAACGACTTCATCTATATGTGTGAACACCTAGTAAAGTTAGCTTATTCAGCACCTCGAGATTCATCCTTTAAAATAATTTACAAAGTTAAATTGAACCACTCCAAAGGTTTACGTTTCAACCACCTATGGATATATAGCTGAAGCATTAGCTATACATGAATAAAAACCGAAACTTGGCAATCAAATACCGTTCTGTGAAACCACTCTCTCTACCTTCGCCTTAATAATTCACTTTCAGTTACCTTTGTCAATTTCATTTCAATTCACTTTGGTATACTTCTCTTTTGAAACAGTCAATCCATTTTATGAATTTCCATAGTGTAATTAGAAGACGAAGATTATCTGAGTAATGTGATGTATTTGCGCAATATATTTGGAACAATCTGCTCGATCACACATTTACTTGTGAAGTCAATATATATTAAACTGAGGACTGGGAGGGGGGAGAAATACAACAATTAACACGATAGGGGGAATAAAATTGAGAAAGATGAGGACAAAGAGGAAGTGACATAGTTGATCCTTCTCTTTTATTATCATCATTATCACTAATTTTCACTTCATTGACAACATTTCAACCCATATTTCACTCTTTTAATATCAATTCATTCCTTGTTCATTGACCGTTATACAATTACTTGACAACACTTGTCGTTTATCTAACCATTTGTTATCAATTCGTCCCCCCTTATTCAGTGATGCTGGTTACTGAAGCTCACATGGTTAGAAAGAATAAACAACGAGGAACTCTGGCTATATGGCAACGAACCAACCAAGCAAGAACCTATCACTTAACAAATATGCAGTGGAAGGAAGTGGAGATGGATTGGGCATACACTGAGAAGATTATTCGGGATATCACACACCAGGCCAGGCCCTCGAGTGGAACCCAAATGGGAAACGACGAGTTAGGCGTTCGAGATGAGGGTGACATGGAGAAGATGATGTGAGGAAGAACCTTCATTAGAGTCTATCCGGAAGCTATTCGTTTGGATTACGCTTTGTCTTTTTCTGTATACATAGAAGAACACAAGAGATGAGAACTGAAACAGTTCAGTTGGTGATAATGATAGTGACGAAATATACTCCTTTATTCACAGATAAGAACATGTATCAGCGAAGAAATATTCCCTTCTCGACGACTCCATTATCAAGTGGAAGACATAGACTGACCTATGAATCGAGCCATCATCCGTTCTGATGGATGGGTGGCAATCATTGAAATATCTTAGCAGCTGATTCACAAATAAGAAATGTGTCGTCAATGTACCTTTTATACAAATGAAGTTCAGAGATTATCTCTTTAAGTGCCTGGAAAACCGTTTGTCAAGGTGTATCAACAGTGGCTTTTATGCTGCTAGACTGAAATCAATATTCTCCAGCCATCGTCTGATTCGACAATACGTAAAGGATAAGCTACCACTTATGTTCACATCTATGTGTATCTACAAAATTCAAATACTCCTGTGGAGCTGACTATATTAGACAATGTAAGCGTGCCCTACAAAAATGTTTGACTTAACAAATGCGAGCGATGGGAAACGACTTCATCTATATGTGTGAATACCTAGTAAAGTTAGCTTATTCAGCACCTCGAGATTCATCCTTTAAAATAATTTACAAAGTTAAATTGAACTACTCCAAAGGTTTACGTTTCAATCACCTAAAGTTGCCATCCACCGTGATCCTTTCTCTTCATCTTATGTAATACTGACATCACAGAAGGTCGTAAGCTTTTTAAAAATGTACGTGACTATATAATGCCATAAGAGGATATAGTAAAATGATGAAAACAAACAGAAATGTAGAAAAATTTGATGCAATATGTCAGATGGAAAATTTAGTAGGTCAGATATTTAAGTAGGCCGCTAAAATTCGATCATTATACTACTCATTTGATGGTAATTTACTTCAAGTTAAGTGCCTCATTCCTTAAAAAAAAACTAACTTCGATTTAAGATTTCGGCTACATCGTCACTAAGAGAAACCTTATTGACATCAAAACTGATCAGTTAAAAAAAAAGGTTCATCTGTCAGAAATGTTTATATGAACTTTCTGAAAGATGGAAAGGAAGGATAGGCTTCCAGTTATGTCCACATCTATGTGTATCTACAAGTTCACATGCTTCTGTGAAGCTGACCATATTAGATGTTGTAAGCAGGCCGTTCAAAAACGTATTGCTGAACACTACCCGGTTTGGATTACCAGAGGTGAGTAAAGGAAAACGACTTCATCTATATGTGTGAACACCTAGTAAAGTTAGCTTATTCAGCACCTCGAGATTCATCCTTTAAAATAATTTACAAAGTTAAATTGAACTACTCCAGGGGTTTACGTTTCAACCACCTATGGATATATAGCTGAAGCATTAGCTATACATGAATAAAAACCGAAACTTGGCAATCAAATACCGTTCTGTGTAACCACTCTCTCTACCTTCGCCTTAATAATTCACTTTCAGTTACCTTTGTCAATTTCATTTCAATTCACTTTGGTATACTTCTCTTTTGAAACAGTCAATCCATTTTATGAATTTCCATAGTGTAATTAGAAGACGAAGATTATCTGAGTAATGTGATGTATTTGCGCAATATATTTGGAACAATCTGCTCGATCACACATTTACTTGTGAAGTCAATATATATTAAACTGAGGACTGGGAGGGGGGAGAAATACAACAATTAACACGATAGGGGGAATAAAATTGAGAAAGATGAGGACAAAGAGGAAGTGACATAGTTGATCCTTCTCTTTTATTATCATCATTATCACTAATTTTCACTTCATTGACAACATTTCAACCCATATTTCACTTTTTTAATATCAATTCATTCCTTGTTCATTGACCGTTATACAATTACTTGACAACACTTGTCGTTTATCTAACCATTTGTTATCAATTCGTCCCCCTTATTCAGTGATGCTGGTTACTGAAGCTCACATGGTTAGAAAGAATAAACAACGAGGAACTCTGGCTATATGGCAACGAACCAACCAAGCAAGAACCTATCACTTAACAAATATGCAGTGGAAGGAAGTGGAGATGGATTAGGCATACACTGAGAAGATTATTCGGGGATATCACACACCAGGCCAGGCCCTCGAGTGGAACCCAAATGGGAAACGACGAGTTAGGCGTTCGAGATGAGGGTGACATGGAGAAGATGATGTGAGGAAGAACCTTCATTAGAGTCTATCCGGAAGCTATTCGTTTGGATTACGCTTTGTCTTTTTCTGTATACATAGAAGAACACAAGAGATGAGAACTGAAACAGTTCAGTTGGTGATAATGATAGTGACGAAATATACTCCTTTATTCACAGATAAGAACATGTATCAGCGAAGAAATATTCCCTTCTCGACGACTCCATTATCAAGTGGAAGACATAGACTGACCTATGAATCGAGCCATCATCCGTTCTGATGGATGGGTGGCAATCATTGAAATATCTTAGCAGCTGATTCACAAATAAGAAATGTGTCGTCAATGTACCTTTTATACAAATGAAGTTCAGAGATTATCTCTTTAAGTGCCTGGAAAACCGTTTGTCAAGGTGTATCAACAGTGGCTTTTATGCTGCTAGACTGAAATCAATAT